CCCCAAAACCCCAAAACCCCTCAAAACTATATAATTGCAAATATATTAAAACGTAATATCAAAATGTATAATCAAAAATTAAAATCTATTAATTTATTTTCCTCCTAAAAGCCTTTTATACCACCAGCTTAATTCTTACCTCTCACCTTACTTCCAATTACTTATCTCTTTTGTACTTCCTTTAACTAAATTTAGTTTTAATTTTTATTTGGCTATCCAATCATTTAATTTTTCTCTGGTTATTTCTGTGGTGGCTTTGGCTATGCCTTTTATTAGTTCATATATATCCTTTGTATTTTGTTGAATGGATCTGAATTCTAGTTTGGATTAGCTGAAATGAAATCATTTTCATTAATAGCTTTGCGCACTGGTGTTCCCTATTTTTCAATTTAAGCTTTATTTGCTCTAATATTTCCAGACAATGGCCTCTAACCTCGCTCTCTGATGTGCAATCCACCTGGCAATTAAGCTTTTGGAGCTCTTTGATATCTGCTTGGAGTAATTTTATCCATCTCTGCTACTTTTTCTTCCTCCTTATCTTCTTCCTCTGGATTCAGTAATTCTTGAGAGATGTCAAAATAATTATTGACCTTTTTTTATGGTACTTCTTAGTTTACCTTATTAAGATTCTCATTTAATTTTACTTTAGAATGATTGCCTTCTATTGTATTTTGTCTTGCATGTTTGATATCTCTTCTAGGTTTCCTTTCAACTTGTGGAAGTCTTTAGAATTATTGATTTGGAGTTTGTTGTTGTTTCAGCTCTTCAATCTCAGCCACTTACTCTCTACATAGCTTCTCCAAATGTTTGATAACTTCAGAGCAATTATTCATTTGATACTCTCTACAAATAGCTACACATTTTCTATGAGTACAAGGCTAAGATTCTGCAAGACATTCTCTTAAATGCTGTTAATAATTTTTATATGTTACTACTTGCTTGCATGTATGATAATACTTGCACTTAAACTTTAATTCTTATAGGTTTTGATTAAAAAATCTGATTGGCTTTCCGAACTAAGGCATTTGGCATCTCATAGGGCATTTATTAAGCTAAGGTGAAAATAAAAGCAGACATTTTTTGCAAAAAACATTTTCACATCTATTACAAATAAGTGGATCATTTACTACAGATTAGCAGATAACGCAAATAAAATTATTATTCAATTATTGGCCAGGATATGTTGGATGAAAGAGTTCTGGTTCAATATTCTCTACATCAATAATTGTTGCATTATTCATTTTTAATAATAGTAATATATCTGAATATATGTAATTAATTTTAATTTTGCTTTCAATTAATACCAATTTTGAATTCTATCGATTCTTATTTTATCCTAGAAAACGGGGTTTTGGGGTTTTGGGG